TATATCGAAATACAGTTGAGGAACATTTCTCTTGTATTGCCTGAACCATTATTATTCACTGATTTTCAAACTCTGTTGTTACGCTTCCTGTAATTTTACTAATTCCTTAATTAAAAAGTATATATATATATATATATATATATATGAGAAACTAATTATTTATTAAAAATAGTTTTAATATTATTATACGTATATATATATATATATATATATATATCTGCTTTATTATTTCCTTATTTCTTTAAATTGATCATTTTATATTCATTATTAGATGTATTGAAATGTAAATTTGAAAAAATAATCAACTAATAACGTTTTAATTACATTATGCCCTTCTATTTTCAAAAGAATTAAAATATTTGTTAACTCTTTCGAATTCTTTAAATTTCTTTTTTCCAAACGTGTTATTTGTATGTTTCACATAAATTATATACAACTATATATCAATTTTAGGGTAAGATAATTTATGAAAATTGTATCGTAATAATTTACTAGCCTTAATATTATTGGTTGAAAGATATTCTTTTTAAACTCGTTACATCGTAATAATTTCAAAATCTTTTATTTCCTATGCATAATATAAAAGTCTTAATATTTAGAAATTGAAAAATGTTAATAAACTTATAATTTCATTTTTCATTTAATAATCTAGAAAATCATGCAAGTTAATATTACTTTGATAGCTATTCCTTTCAAAAGTATTTACCACATAATTATATATCATAGACCAACTAAATAGAACTTTTAATATAATACTAAATATTAATAATAAATATAACATTATAAATAACTTAATTATTTTATTAAATATATCGATAAAATTAAAATAACAAAAATATTTTTAGGCGTTATAAAAGATTTTAAATGAAATCTTTTTCCGCTGTTAAAAATATACGTATAATTTTATATACAAATAATTAATATGATTATTAAATATATAAGAGTATTTTTACTTGTAAAGGCATTATAAGAAAATTACGACGTACAATACTTACAGGAAAATGAATCATGTCAATAATAATTATTATAAAATTAATCAATAATTTTAAAAAATTAAAGGCTAAAATTAAGGGAAAAATTTTAAAAATGTCAAGTTGATATAAATTTTCATACAAAAATAATTAGGTATTAGAGAAATTTCAGATGGAGCTTCATATATATTGTGACATAATGAAGATAAAATTATAAATGAGACGATAAAGTGTGTTTGTAAATGAATGATAAACTTAATTTATCCAATATATATCAGGAATAAATATTATCTATTTTATGCTTATTATCTATAATGCTTTATGGATCGAATGAAAATGAAACTGTTAATTGACTTTATTAATATTAAGATTAATTTGTATTACAATTTTCATATAATATAATAATGTTGATAGTTAGAACTAATTTATAACATCCATATTTAAATAGATAATTAAACCTTAATTAATTAAACCTTAATTTTCATATTTGAAATTACTTTTAACGTATAATGTTTTTAATGAAGTTAATATTAATTCCCTTAGTTCATGAAAATTGTATGTAGAAATAAAGTTGTTGTATTTGTGTATATTGATATATTAATAAATTTATTCTTACCCATTTTGTATATATATATATATAAAAATATTTTTTTTCACATATATATATATATATATATATATATATATATATATATATATAACAATATGAACTTTGAAAATTTAATGAATTTAAATCTTTACTTATTTGAATTTATTTTTAATAAATTATTGTATATTAAAATGTTTTCTTTGAATTATGTTTATTTTATATTTATAACAAACACTTTATAATGGATGAAAAGAGTTTATTTAAATAAACCTATAAAATATTAGTTCTTTTAGCTATTTTCGTGAGTACAAATTTTGTATTAAGTATCAATGTATTATATGTATATTATATATGTATATTATATGAATATATGTATATTCAGTAATTTGAAATTATAAATATAAAATTCAAAATTTCTTTACATTGACGTATTATAATAGATTTTAAAATAATAACATTGCAACTATTATAAGTTAAATTAATTATTTATTTTTAATTTATCCGTCATATATCATTTACAACGAAACTGTTACAAATTGAATAATTTTTATAAAAATGTACAATTTTCTTTAAAGGCTTATTATATTGTCAAATATCGATTGTAACTATAAGATATAATGATAATAATAATGGTTATTACTACGCCACCGATGCATTGTTAATTTTGATATCTCAATTTCCGTAAGCAGACCATTAGATTATATTCATTTTCCATTAAATACGAATGACAAGGCGTGTGAAAATAGGAAGAAAATTGACCCTATTATGTTCCAAGCTAATGAAAGCACGAAATAACGTAACATGTAATCAAATACGTGAAGAGTGAAAAATCAACAACTCCATGTCAAAATATCATTTTTTCCTCATGAAATCACCAAGGCTTATCAAAATATATCGCATTAGTACTTTCAAGTCCTCCGGCATCAATTTGTTTCCCAGTACAACTGTGGCAGCGGCAACTCACGGAAGAGATCACAAATCTTCGCAGAAAGTGGAACGCCATGGGGCATTTTCGAGTGACAAGCTTTTTCCACTAAATACATGTGACCGTGTGTCTGTACACTTTATTATACAGGGACTAATGAGAAGTAAATAACCCAAGTTTCGATCAATTTAATGTTACATAATTGTGCGTATCAATTCCATTTAAATGTGTATACTACAGCGTTTGAGTGCGCAGTCTTGTACATTTATATGCGCATGAATATAAAGTGATTGTATATCGATATTCAAAAAACTACGGGACTCAAGAATTTTATTGATCAAAAATAATAATGAAACATATTCAATGTATTGGATATAAGGATATCATGGACCGATTTTAATACAGCACATAGAAACAAGTAAAAATTATGTTTGAAAAATAAGTCATTATATAATGCTGTACGTAAGTATTTAACGTACGAGTTTATTTGATTTAGAGTACGAGATGAACACTCATTATAATGTTCAATACCGTTTCAAATAATACGCGTAAAAATTCTTTCCTAATACACTTTTTCATGTGTAAGTCTCTCGTTATTAATTTATAAAAGTATGGAATAAAAATATTCGTATGAATATTCTATGATTTATGAAATTTTGATTACATTGTTATGTCAATTTTATAATTAGATAAAATTTCTTGTACATTGAGTGAATAAAGTTAATTATCTAAAAACAATTTAATTATAGTGTAAATAGATGTAATACCAATTATATGAAACATTATAAATCTTGGAAGAAAAAAGAAAAAAAAAATACCGGAAAATATCATTATACATTCAACAATTGAGTTTGAAGTTCACTTGAAAACTACTTTAAGCCACATTCGCATTTAGAATGAATCGAATAGAAGAAATAAATTCAAAACATCATTCAAGTGGGTATAAGTCAATATTAGTTTATACATTGGGAAATCTCACAACGAATGGTATCGCGAATCCCATTTCTCCTCTTAAATTTTAACAATTGTCCTTCGAAGGACAATAGGCGTATTAAAGACTTCGTATTTTAAGTTTGGCGATTCAATTCGAAATTCGGTACACCTATGTATCATTCAGAGTGTCTCATCTTGTGAAGCACGACGATGATAATACAAAAGCAGATAAAATAATGACAGCAACTTTCTACAGTTAAAGTTTCGTAAAAGAAATTTAATTATTAATATGGATGTCCTCGAATTCTCCGAAATCGATTACGTGGTCATCGTAGAAACTCCCCACACAAAGTGTATGGCGTCCGATCCCCTGAGAAAGCCACCGCAAGACGTTGCGTTATGGCGTTAAGGTTGCCTATATTCAGGCGTCGCTTTCCCATTCCGACACTCGCAGCACAAGTGACTCGCCGCCGCCTGCTTGTGAACGGGATAATATGCTTAATCACATCTGACCGCTAATTATGCGATCAAAACGTTATCCTCTAAAGTGAACTGCTTTCGTTTAAAATTAAGTGCTTCGTATAATTTGCCTCCGTGGTACGTCCGTAAAAAGCAAAAAAATTTTGAGTAAAAAGAATAATTATCAAAATGCTTTAAAAAATTCGTTAAATACTATATAGCCTAACTTTGTTTATTTACAAAACGTATATTTCACGATTATGTACATATAAAAGTTATAGTTCATAAATTTACGTTAAATGTAGCTTATTATCTCTAGCGCAATGACGAAATTAAAATCATAATTATAACGTCACGAAATAAATCCTTATGTAAAGGGAAACATTTATTAAACGAAATAAATATATTGATAGAATATATTTTACTAATTTATATATGTAATTTTGATTGCTATAATGTTATAAAAATTTTCATTTTAACGAAAATATGTTTACTTATATGATACTGGATGATGGCAGGGAATTATGAATATTTCAAAAAGACTGTTTAATGCAATATAAATTTATTATAATTCCTTCTTGATCAGTTGCCTGTAAATAGTAAATTAATACAAGTGGTTTTACACAATTTCTGAAACATCATAAATTTGTTGGTAAATTATATGATAGAATTGTCGCTAACATAGAAATCTAAAATCTTTTAATTCGTTATTAATTAATTATCGTTACTCTAATAATTATAAAGACAGTTATGTTTATGTACACAATATTTCACTTTGAAAATATCTTTTGTAAGTATTTTTAGTAATAAAATCATATATGATAGTTAAAATTCGATGATTCGATTTGTCAAATAAACGAACTCCCAATTTAATAACAACGAAATAACTTATTTATATCCTTTAAAAACAATCGTTTATACATTCATATATACACAGACTCATCCATGAGTATTTTTTATCTAAATTTCTTGTAAAACACGAACACATATATTACGATTTTTTCAATTAGATCTTAATTAACATTTATTTAAAACACAAATTTTCAACGCCTTCAACTTTCAACTTGCACATATTTTTTTTCTTTTTAATTTTTTTTTTTTTTTTTTTTTTTTTTCATAACGATCAAATTCATTATTTTATATTCTTACAATTCATATGCACAACGATAATGTCCTCATGAATTAAATTCATTTTCTTCTCTTATTTCACATTTTGTCCATTTACTGTTTAGTAATATAGGCACTTGGACATATTGTTGACAAATGCTTTTGCCCCACTAGTACCTCTTGAATACGATGAGATTCAGAGTAAGTATTAGTAAAGAAAAACAGGGAACTTGACTACCTGGAATTTGAAAAGCACGGAATCGTTAAAACCATCGAGTGCTTCGATAATAAATTCGTTCATCATAATAAGTAATAATTTTTTTATTAGTCTTATATATAATATCGTATTATGAATTTTTTCGATTTTATACTTTATGAGAATAATTATATAAATAGGAATTTCAATACTTTCCAAAGCTTTTTCTCTACTAATTGAAACATTTTTATTTTATAATTTTGAATGTTAATTATTACAATATACTCTTATTAAAATTATATGCTATGCGCTACATAAATGGATGCATTTAAATTGATCAGTTCTTTCAATTTTAAAATATAAAAGAAGTTTTCATTATATCATCAAGCTCTCCATTCTCTACGCTATGTCACATAAAAAATCTATCACCATATGAAAAAATATAAAAAGTTACGAATATTAAAATATAATGTGAAAGGAAATTAATTCGGAATATTCATAAAAGCTATAGGTATCCATCAAGATTCAACGATATAATTGAAATTATCATCTAAGTATAGTGTTTAGGTATAAAAGATGTACGTAATGACGTAACATTAATGAATAACAAAAAAAAAATAAATAGATATAAAATATATTTGTAATCGAAATAGAAATGGAAAAAATTTTAAATACATAGTTATTAAATTATTCTGCAATTCGGATGCTTCTTTATTCGGTAAAAATATCAATCTCGGCTCGCTTTGACGAACACTTGAAAATTCTTTAGAATAAGTTCCATCCGATAATTTATATATAACTGAAAATGAAATATTTAGAGAAGATAAATACTTTCAATTTATTATAATTCCCTTTCAAAGAGAAGTGAATCGACACATTTACAGATATCCTTCTTTATAAATTCTATAGAAATAGAAAGTATTATTCCACTTCATTTGTTTGTGCAATAAATCGTCTAAATAGAGTTTTATTTATTTATAAAAATAGATGTGCACAAATATATTATAATTATAATTATATATAGAGGTAAATAAGATAATGCATAAATAATGGCATTTCGTTGGATATTATGTGCTGATGAATGAAAAAAAAAAAAAAAAAAAAAAAAAAAAAAAAAAAAATGTTGTCAAGAATTCAATTTCTCATATAAAAATACTAGAAAAATAAGGATCAAACATAGATGTAACTCAAATAACATTTTATAAGAATAAAGAAGATTAATAATTATAATATTCAATATAATCTCATATTATTCAGTAAAAGCATTAAATATATAAAACTAACGTTTCCTAAATATAATATAAGCTTATATTTTTTAAATTTAAATTTGAAATAATACTATTTCTGAACATAGATTTCTAAAACCTATCTCTCACTGGATAAAAAATATAAGACAATATAAACGTAATTTCAATATTGTACGATAACTTAATTCCGAATATTAAATAGAAATGCAATAAATACCTTCTGGTATACCCATACATAATTTATATTAAAACTGAAAAATGTGCATATATACAATATGAGATAATATCTGCCATTATAATATAAAATTATAATGAAATATAATTTTTCAAATATACCTTGTATTTATTAAAAAATATATATTCAGCTAATTATTTCAACTTGTTAGATCAAGAGCTCAACTTTAATATATGACATTGTATGCTAACTGTAAACAATGTATGCTAAACTTATTATAAATATCTATTACAAATATATTATTTTATTTAGGAAACTTAAATTTGAAAAATAATACCGAATACTGAAATAAAGTGGAATAATAAAGAATAAAATCTTTAATAAACATTCGTCTATAAGAATTGTTATAAAAGGACATAGATCCTTTCAATTTTTATTTAATCGTTTAAACTTTTTTGATGATTACTTTCATTTAGCGCCCATACGTTCCTAAAAATTGTATAATAAATTACAAGTTAATATAGATTAAAATTTACATTAAAAATATAAATATCGCTTTTTATAATTATTTATAATTAAACATTTAAAACACCTGTCTTATATAATAGAATATTATGTTTATTATAATATTTTTCCATTCTAAGTATAATATTAATTATATTATATCTATTATGTATCAATTTTTATTCATGAACGTAAGTTGTGGGAAGCTTATCTTTTGTAGTACTTTCATAATGAATTCATTAATGTTTAGAGATTCGATAAAAAAAAAAAGACGATAATGAAATTCTCAGCGAATAATTAAATTGAGATAAAAATGCACTTGACTTTTTAAATTTAAAATACATGATTAAATAAATACAGCTTCCGCAAAAACATAATTTTTATAATTATTATGAAAAACACTGTTTTTTCTACATAAGAAATTGACAATTTTTGATAATTAAGTTCATTTGTAAATATAAAGTATAATATACATTATCTAATATTGTATTATGTATAATAATATACGTGTAAAGTAAGTTTCCTCAAATGTCACCAATACTCAGAATTAATCAGAAATTATAAATAATTTTCAAAATTGGATATTTTCATAATGAACATAAGACGATTGATTGGAAAAGTTAAATGAAAATATTAATAAATGCCATTTTAGTATGTAAATTAAATGCAGTTATATAAATTTATTGCAAAAATATAAAGCTTTTTTTTTTGCTAATAGTCTAATTTATATTCCATCAATGTAATATTTGCTTGTTAATTGGAAAAATGAGAACAAGATAAGAATTAATTACAACGAACGACTATATAACAACAATACAAATGAAATATATATGTATATATATTCTACATGATTCAATATGTATATTAATTATTAGATGTCAAGACAATTTTTATTACCATTGTAGACGTATTCCTGAATGAACGAATAATTCGCTTCGAATATCGAAACTTCGCATTGGAATATAACTGGCAGTTTAACTTTATCAGCTTTCAAGACTGCAATAGCTTCTGCAGTGAAGCGTCCATCCGTATTATTTTTGTACCTTTGTTCCTGGAATTGAATGGGCTTCCTATTTTCAAGAAAATCAAAAAACATTAAAATGTATTTTTCGATAAGAAGCGTTTTTACGGCGGACCGGCTAAATAGCCTTTAGTAATTGTGGATAATCAATAACAATTGTGTCAATATCATTAATGATAATTATTTAATTTGCAATAAACAAACAAGCTCATATTATTCATACGTGTATTTATATAAAGATTTCGCATTGATTTTTATTAATTATTTGTTGCAATGATGTTTTTATTACGCCAATGGAATCTAATAAATATACATTGAAAGTGAATTATTATGATTTTTCTATATAAAAATATGAGAATGTCTTTCTTTTAGTTGGCTTTTATCGTAAAATTTAGTAATACATTACGTAGTCAATCATATAACTTGTCTCACCTGTCTCGATGAATAATGATCTTGGGTCGTGGATATAGGCCTTCGGCTAGGCAAGTAACTGTGAGGCGATTTGCAGTTTTATTTAATAATGGATGATGTAGTTGTAAGCTTTTTGCTGGAGCTGAAAAATATACGGAAATGTAAAAAATAATAATTAGTAATCCATACGGCATTTTATCATAGCGTGAAAGCTTAGTCAGGTATTTTCAAACGGGACAAGACAAACGATAATTCGATTCCCTTTACAATTTGGTAAATATATTACTTTAATTAATATTTATTATATTCTACATAGGAATAGCAAGCCATTATTAATTATTAATAATAATATATAAGCACGAAACTTCTTGATCATTGAATAAGGTATATATAAATACTCAATTTAATTAATTGTAAAATCACGCGTAATAAAACTTATTAATAATAAAGTTGATGAAAGGTATATCATGTATTTTTAAAACAATACAAATAAACTTAAATAATGACTCATTACATATTTCTTTATCGTTTATCATGTTAAATGGTAAATGAGCTGATTTATTATATACTATATATGTATAATATGCATACGTAATATTATAATTATATTCTACATTTCTAAAAATGTAATTAATTATTCAATTTATTTATATTTTTCTAATTATATTTTGTTAATTCTCTTTCAATTGTTCGAACGTACGATATTTAATAGCTTTAAGAAATAATTGAAGTACAGTCTGAGTATTGTAATTAAGTACTATCTAAAAGAATATAGGATCAATGACGAAATTATTTAAAATTTTAGATTTTTATCCATAACGATAATTTACGACTATGCACGAAAATTCAATGAGAAAAGATGCAAACCTAGTAAGATCGATCTATAAGTAGATAAAAATAGTTATACTGAAAAAAATGCGTAAAGACTTGATAGTGTATGCACACATTTAATATGCATGACACGCATTACATTACGCACAGTGTATGTACTCGTGAACATATAATTCATGCATATTCATACGTGTGCACGAGACATACTCCTAATTCAGTTTTATTTCTGTTTCTTTCATTTATTCTTTGTTTTCAGTTTTTTTCTTCTTTTTCCCCTTTTTCTTCGCTGCCTATTTTTTTTATTTTTTTTTTGTTCATATGAGGATGCATTCAACGAGTCTGAGAAATGAAAACACTGTTGTTTCTTTTTATAGGTAGTTAAAAGTATATTAAATATGCTTATGTACAATGCTTATTTATTGTTGTATATAATATGTATATATATATATATATATATATATATATATATATAGGTGTGTGTGCGCGCGCACGAGCGTTTATTTGCGTTTGTGTTCTTGTTGTGTTATGTTCTCATACAAATACTCTTATGCAATGATATATAATTGACATTCAACAATTCATTGATCACATAATTAAAAAGATTTTATATTTTTGAATATTTATTTGAAAATTGAATACTAGTTCAGTATAAAAATTAATTTTTAAATTAATATAAATAATTTAATATTTAATATGTAATTACAATTTTAATGGTTCCAAATGCAGTAATAGATAGGTAACTAGAAAATTAGTATTTCTTTAAGTGTAACTTAAATTTCAAATATGTGTATAGTGTTTATTTAAATGTTGCAGAAATTTTAAATATTAATACTGGCAATTATAATAATACAATGAATTTTAATAAGATTTTGTTGATTGTATAAATTATGGTATTAAAAATAACTGATGAAATAACTTTCATATATTTTACAAGTCAATTAATGAAAATATTGTGTAATTCCGTTTGAATTTCAAAATAGCGATCCAATTAACAATTATCTGCTTTTTGTTAATCAGTCTGAGCTGATTGACGAAAATTCCATAAAACTATACTACAAAAACCTAACAAACATCTGATCATTTTATAATTCTATAATTTTTCTTTATTCAAGTCTCACTTATAGTTATAATGATTAATTGTATTAATATTATGTGAAATTAAATTTATTATAGGAGTAAAAGTTTTTCTTGACCTCTACAAATGAATTGAATTACAATTGAAAACTTAATGTTAATTAAATATAGCACACAATATATGAATATTATATAAACAAAAAAGTGTTGCATATTAAAAGTTTTATTAAACATTATTATTTATACTGAAATTTTTAATTATAATTTAAACATTTTTATTCATTATTATAAAAAGTTATCTTTGTTACTTCAATTTATCATTTATAGTTGTTCTTAAAGCATAAGAATAAAATCTAAAATACTTTAAATGTAACGGAAAAGTTTATTTTCAAAATTTAATTTGCTTTCTTCCCTTTCTCTTTCGTCATTACCTTTTCTTTATGCGTAATTTACAGATCAATCAGTTTTGATTTAAAATATTTTATGTACTAGTTTTAGACACGATGGAAGAAAAATTTGGCTATTAGATAACAAACTTGAAATATTCGACATTGAGATATTTAAGATTTGATGTAAGTCAAATACATATTTTTTGTATTTTATAAATATCGAATGAATAAAAAATATCAAACTATCATATGTTGGACTTTTTGTTTGTTTTTGTTTAATTTGTGTGATATATTCCAATAATTGTTAATTATTATTATAATAAAGTTAGATTGTATTTTATTGTGAATGGTTATTTTAGAAATGACTTATAATTCTTATAATTTATTTTATAAATAACTCAGAGTTCAATTGTTAATTACGATGTTTGATATTTTATTAAAATAACAAAAGCATTTTATATATGAGAAAGCATGATTATTAATTTATCTCAGAAACATATGTCGAAGCGAAAGTAAATTTATTTAGCGATATTCTCTAGAAAATATTGAAAATCATGTAGTGAATATGTTGCACACAAAATAAATTTTTAAATTTCAACACATTTAACACTAATATTATCAATATAATATAACCGATAAAATTGCACATAATAGAACAAATATTTGAAATCTACGATAAAGGGAAAATGTGATTTCCGCTTAAACAATATATTCTGAATTTGACTCGTATTTCGAAACAAAATATTTAAAAGCAAAAAGTATTCGAAATCGTAAATTTTAACAATGAAATAAAATTATTCCTAGAATTATGGATGAATTCTAACTTAATACTTTGCACATCTAAAACCTTAAATCTTTAGACAAAAAACTACGTTAATATCTAGGGCATCTCCTCTCATATATAGATATATATAGTTTTTCGAAGCCCGAGGGATCTTTGCAACCTACATCGCTTTCTAGGAGTTTTACTTTTTCTTATTACTGCCTCTCGCTCTCGATCTACCTCCCTCTTTCTTTCTCATACTCTTTCTCTTTCTCCCTTTGTTTGGCTTTGTCACTCCTATAATATACTATTTTATCTTTTCTTATTCTTGTTTAAACGACGATTGGAGACCCTCCAGATTCTACTTGGCTAAATGTTATCTTCGTAACCCTAACAAAATGATCCTAGTAGATTAACTGATTTTTTACTTTACTGCTTTATACCAGCTGATGCCTATTTGGCATCAAAGATATTTAAATATATATTTCCATATAAATATAAGAAATCTTCAAAAAGGTATATTCTTTTTTCAATCGAGAGTCAAATCCCTTGCCCGTAATGTTTTATTTTCGCAATGGATGTTTCCCCAATTGAACTACCCATGCACTTATTTATTCAAGGTGTGTTCTTATCGTAATTACATCAGAAAATCACTAATATAAATATACATTATGATAATATATGTACATTTATATGACTATATTATTATATGAAAAAAGAAAGCATAAAAAAGTGAAAGTTGATTTTAAAAACGATAGCAGTTTAAATACAAAAAAATACTTACACGCATATAATTATAAAATCATCATATTAAACTAATAGTGAAAAGTGAAGATAAATGAATATAAGTATATAGGTAAAAAGAAAAATATACAAAACTAAAAAATATTAAATAAATAATAGAATAAAAATACAAACAAAATCTATGTAAAATTTATGCATATATATATATATATATATATATATATATGTGTGTGTGTTTACTCGAATAAATTGAAAATAATTATGTAATTTGGCATATATCGCGCGAAGCTGGGATAATTGGATTAAAAATTAAAACGACTTTGTCATTTATGTCTGCTTTTGGCATATCAAAAAATAATTATAAACTGAAGACAATATTTACAGCAATTATTTCATTTTAATGATTTTTTCTGATTCATATACTTAATTAAATTGATTTAAAAATGATAAGGAATAAGAGCTAAATTATAATAAATCAAAATATGATATTTAATAAATATAATGTTGTAATGTTGCAAAACGCATAGCAAGAAATATATGATAATGGATAAAATAAATATTGAAAATTCTTTATGTATGCTGTTTCACTTTTAATTTAATTAAATCAATGTATTATTTAGTAACTGCATTATATTTTATACATCTAATAGAAATTAATTCCATTATTATTAGTGATTGTACTATCTTTCTGTAAATTAACAATTGACATTCTTTCAAAAACATTTCTTCTCGTCAATAATTGCTATAAATATATAGTTGATGTACATTTAATATTCAATAAAAAGACATGAACTTTTCATTCATTCTTGAGGACATAGCACAATTGATGATTATAGATGTTAAAATTATTCACGTTTAGCTTTATATAACACATTTGTGATAATTGATTAAAATTGTCATTCAAATATTTCATCACCATTTTAATATAATTAGCGCATCAACTTTAATTGACTTTTATTAGTCGTAGGCTTATGATTCAATCAATTATCTAAAATACGTGTGGTTTCGGCGGTTTCCGCCGAAAAATGTGTAAATAATCCATTGAATTAATAATCGAATCGTATATTTAACATAAACGTTTAGAATTCATTTACATATTTATATTACAGCATATTTATATTATTTTATTTTAATAAATAAATTGCACGTCCTTATCGTTATTGTTTTACAATTAATATTTGAACAGGAATTTTGAAGTAACATTTTATAATACTATATTTTGTTATTATAATTATAAATAATCACGCAATCAACAAGCAAAATAATAGCTTGAATTATAACGTAAAAATTACTTTTAGCTTAACAAAGAATTAAAGTTCAAACTAATTTCAAATAAAATGCTTTATTTTATTTATAGCTATTACTAATCGTAACACACGCACATGCACAAGATTTTTAATTATTATGCTTTATATAGAGCGTTAGTTTATTTACAATTATATTAATTTTTGTGATTTTATAAATCATTGAAAAATCTTTGAAAATAATCTTAAAGGTTTTTAATCGTAAGAACTGGATGTGCATGCATAAAAAAATTTTCTTACATCTGCGATAATATGTAAAGAATAATAAGATAAGTTAAGATTTTATAAACTTTCATTATCACTTTTATGACTTGATAGATTTATAAATTCATTATTCATACGCAGTAAAATATTCAACATATTAACTAAATTTTTATATTTTAAATAAATTTAAGAATGCATTTTATCTTACTATTAGGTGACAAATTATTTTTGAAACTGTAAGGAATGTAAATTGAAATTTCGAATAAAATAATACAATTCGTATTTTCATGGTTTAGCTTATAAAATAAGAGACTTGAAAGTGATCGATCATATATCTATATATATATATATATATATATATATATATTACATTCTATATGTTATATATGAATTTGATTCATGAAAATATTTGGAAATTATAAAAGCATAATTAAAACCCTGTGTATGTATAATTTTTAATATGAATTATATAAAAAAAATTGAAAGTAGCGAATCAACTATTAAAAGTAAGAATGGAGGGATGGGGGGGGGGATAAGAAGACGGTTTTTAAACTAAAAGAAAGAGAAGTGAAGAAGGAGAAAAAGAAAAAAATTGTCTATTTGGGCGGTCAGAACATTCGTCTCTCTTGCGATTTGTGAAGAGTATAAAGAAAAGGAAAGAGATTTAGCAGCGAGAGATAAAGTGTGATTGATTACTCAACATAGTTTATTAGATACAAGCATGCAATGAATATTCTTATGTATCTATTTTTTTTTTTTTTTTTTTTTTTTTTTTTTTTTTTTTTTTTTTTTTTTTTTTATAGGAAGGAGAATGAGTCAAATTTATAAAATAAAATACAATTTATATAAAACAAAACCTATGTTTAATCGTTATCAAATAGACTTATTATATTGTGGAGTTAATAATTAAAAGTAATTTCTTAATAAAATACGATTGGACAGAATATTTCTTCATGGAAAAGATCATTTCATAACTTTAATAATCTACGCGTGACGATAATAAATGACTCTTTCTTAATAACATTAAAATATTTATATGTATAAGTTGATCTTCAACATTATAGCAAATAATGTTTTAACCTTTAATGAAATGCATATATCTAATATATGTTTTAACAACTAAATTAACGAATAAATTACGATCTCATTTCAAATATTTAGCAATTTTGCATATCAATGGATTATTGAATAATGGGGAATTTAATAGTGAATTTATGTACGAACATATTTTAAATTACATTAATTAACTTCTTTAATTGTGTAAATTTCTAACGAATTAAAAGATCTGCAATTTGTATTAAAAGAAAATGAATGATAGATTATTCGCACTAATTCATTATTATTTAGATAATGTATGCATATTATTATATTAATAATTATTATTGGCAATTAATTAACAAGCTTAGGAAATTATAAATTTTTATTCGTTGGTAATTTAAAAAAATAATAATGTACATTATGCAACGCTGAGAATATCTTATATTATTTAAAGATGGAGTAGCGTTAGATTTCTTTGGATACGATGAGCGTAAGAGGAAAATCCTGATATTTTATGACCTATAAATTTTGTACTTAAAATGATACTTGCAGTGATAATCGAAATGTGCGCGAGATGTACCATTTGATATAATAGAGGTCAACTACAGACAGCTTCGTTTCATCTACGTATTGATTATAAATTATAAAAATAAGTTCTTTAAGTTTTTAAGTTGAATAGTAGATAAAGAAAATCGTTGAAATATTACGGAATTTCTTTTCTAAATTAACACATTTCACTCAATTAACATTTAATGATTAAATTTTCTTTAAGTAGCAAAATAAAACGAAACGAACGATTGTCAAAATGAATTTTACAAAAATAAAATATATTTATTTTATACATATATTTTACGATAATTTATTAAACTACATTATGATTTAATTACTATAATAAAGTAATATAATAAAATTCCATATACTCGGAAATTTACCAATAATAATTACTCAAATGGTATTATGTTTATGGATAATGATTATCGATATATCCTTGAAAAATTCGAAGATCATCGTTACTTTATCATTGAATCAGGTAGGTATCGTTCACAATGACATAATGCCTTAAAGATAAATCGACAAACTCACAGTAGACGAGCATCTTCCGGATGGCCCGAGCTTCCCCATACATTGAAGATATGAGACACGTGACATTTCCACTGAGCTCGTGGCTGGGTTTAACGAGTTTTACTGCCCTGTACATCGTTCTGGGATCGTTGCTCGCTTTGAATGACTCGTCGATGTATTTCTTGAATTCCTCCGAGCCCGTAGGTACTTTACCATGAATCCATTGGTAAAGTACATCCTGATTCACAAACCACTTGATCACGAGACCGTCCGTCGAAGAGTTGCCCAACTCGTAATTGCAGTCTAGGATGATGGGATCCGTACTTCCGGCCTTTATCAAATATGGAATATCGACGGTAGTTATGTTGATGGCCCAAGTACCTGTTGGCAAAGAAAATCATGGAGATCGTATTTAGTGATATTCTGCACTCGTCCTTTCATAGATAGATCATTTCCCGTCGACATATATTAAAATATTCCGGAATTCTATTGGATATGGAATTTTATAAAGCCATTTTATAAATAGCACAATGTATTTCGAGAGGAATTTTTATATTATTTTTGACAATATAAAAGTAATTTATCAAGAGTAATGATGAATGTTTGACACAAATATAAAATCATTTTAAGTACCTATTGTAATTAATAAATAAATCATTCCTCCATTATGAAGTATAAATACAACTCGGTAACTTATCATTTCTGATTATCTATATTGTATTAAGATGTGAATTAATTAACTTTATCAAATAATTAGATTATTAGATTGCAATATTACATTCTATTTTATACAAATAATTCACAAGACAGCAATAACAATTAAATAGTGCTTTATTGAAATGAAATATATATTATATATCTAAAAAGAGAAAGAAAAAAGAAAAAAAAATGGTTTTCCGTATAATCGTATACATCGTTTAAAAAAGTTCTAAATATTATCTCAAAATAAATATGAATGTGAAAATAATTATTATAATGCAAAATAACCACGCAATTATGGCATCATAATATCAAATATATTATATCAATTGGATAATGGAAATTGAAACAGAATATGATCAAAATTTATAATTTATTATATTCTTCAAATATAATTTTTAATCATATATATTTCAAATAAGTTCGTTACACTAATATTTTCGAAATAATGTTCTTACTTACGCACGTATGCTTACACTTTCGTATGAACTGTTATATATAGACACACACACGCACGCACGCACACACATCATAATTATTTACAGTTTACATAATTTATATAACATTATATATAATTTTTATAGATAATAATTATTATAATAATAACAATTGGATTAAGCTATTCAATATAAAGTGACTGCTAAACGATTTAGAGCCAATACAATATGTAGCACATTTGCGGTTAAATAATTTTATCCAATATTAACACGAATATTGCTTATTTTTAAATTATACACAAAAACTTGTTAGTTTTCGTAAAGATGGTAAAAATTTCGAATGATTTTCTTTATATTTCAATGATATTAAATGGAAATTATACTATACGAAGGTGAAAATTAATGTTAAAATTTCTAAATATTAAATGTAAAGATATCTTATGTATTTGTTTTAACAATTGCTTGTTATATTCATGTATTCATTTGCCTTTTAATTATATACTGATGAAGGAAATCGAGACAAAAGAAGAAAAATGGATGATAAGTAGTGAAATTAGACGAGAGACGTCATTGAAGAAACGAAAAAAAAGAAAGAAATAATAAAGATGACAACCAAGTAAGAAACTGCTATTTGGTTATTCTGATATCAACTGTAATAACAATACGATATAAATGTGCCCATCGCCTGATAACATAACTAATTGTTAGCTTAATAATATTGCTTATATTTTGATAAAGAGTATGTATAATTCTGATATCTTTTGTCATCTTTCATATGTTTTAAAGAGAAATAAAAATGAAAATTCATCACATTTATTCATAATGTACATTTTATCACGTGTAATTTATTATTGAAAGTACTAAAATATTCGAGAAAATGAATACTAAATTTTTTCAATAAATTAATTTCTTTAGCTTTATTGAATTTTCAATAAATCTTTGGTAATTTTTCAGATTATCGATTCATTCGAAATAAAATAGCTATATAAAGTTATCGAAATAAAAATAATTTCATTTAGATCTGAGAGTCTGAATCTGAAAAGATTCAATAATTATGAGAATATTGACAGAGTAAATGACGTATTTTTATTAGTAAATTTGTAAAAAATGAGTGAAATTCCTAACTTTTTAAAAAGTAAAATTATAACAAAATTTACGTCAAATCAATTCCCTAATAAAAAAGAGATATAGTTATCTACTTGAATAAGTGTGTCTATTAAGATTTATTTATTTCTTCGAGTTGATGGTTATTTTATTTATATCTGATTTATCGCAAGATATTAATATTATAAATTTTACTCGTATATAACGGAATTATTGTGCATTTATTCGTGAATTATTCTTATAATGTATATCAAAATATTTTTATCATTTAATGCTTATGAAAAAATATGCTTTTCGTAACTGAGACTCTCCGTTGTGTACATGTTCCGACAGATATTTCTTGCTCTTTATAGGTATTATATATATATATATATATATATATATATATTAATGTTTTTATGTAAAACGAAAGTAAAGATAAAATTTTTAACGTTAAAATTCACTAATGAGGACATTTTTCCGAAAGCCGGTGGTTCCTCCGTCTTTGAAAATCTATTAAAGGTGGAGTGCTCAACGCGAATAGAACGTGTCTATATCGCATTTGAAGATTATCATTACAACGGTTTCATCTCACACTTCAAGTGCTAAAAAGGACGACCGGCATGAAATCGGGAAAAATAGAGGAAATGAACAGCAAGGTTCCATTAACCTGTCGGTCGCTGAGCAGTCAACTGTCACGGCCCAATGCTGCAGGTTGTTTAGTGGGACTAGTCTCGAGAGAGGGACAAAGAAGGAGATAGAATCTAGGGCAGCATCCTATGCCCAGGGATGGAGCGTGAATGGAGTGAATCGAGTATATTGGTGGCGCTGGTTATATCAGTTGGAAATAGTTGTTTCTGGCTGTCGTGAAACAGCAGTTCCATTTCAAGCTCGTCCATTCCATTTTCCTTAAATATTTGAATCTCATAAGACCGCGCCAATGAGAGACGATCTTTCTATTTCTAGCTGAAGTACTCGAGTGCAAATTAGGACGCGTCAATCTATTTGGTTGCGCTTCTTTTACTCTCTTCCCTCGTCCTTTTAACGCTGCGATTTCTCAATTAATGAGATGCCTCTTCTGCGAAAAAAAAAATGGCCGGCACGCGTTAGAATTTTTATGGACAATAATATAGATGTACATTCGAATTATCTGTATAATAGTTTAAAAATTAATACTTTGTAATAAAACTTTCAGAATATTTGGAAGTTTTTTTCTCTTTCTTTTTTTTTTTGTTTAATTTTTAGCTACTTTGATATAAATCTAGTTACATGTTTATAGAATTCTCTTAAGCTAATATTTGTATACAAGTTTTAATATTAATTTATTACACAAAATTTTAACAAATATCAAATATATCGAATATTAATAATATATCGATCAATCATTTTGTTTAATTTATATTATATAAACATATGATTTTTCTCATAAATAACAAGATATCATAACAATATATTATAGGAAAGATTGCAAGTTGTTTTCAATATTCTTGAAACGTTCATTATTAACTATGATAATTATTTTGTACACAATGTGAAGAAATTTGAATATATTGTTGGCTTATAAAATGTTTCGTATTAAGTATCATAAAAATTTCAGAATTCTAAAAGGATAAATCCGTTCTTATTTAAAAATGAAAAAAATAAACAACACTCAGTGAATAATCAAGATAAGTATAAATGCATATATGTAAATATCTTGAATCTTTGCATGGATTTTCTTTGCAAGTTATAATTTTAATAACCAAGTGAATGATGACTCATAATAACCACGACAGATGTATAGTATTTATGTGAAAAAAAGTCTCGGTATTACAAAATCTCTCGTAACAACATGAACAATGTTTAATGCTCAAATTATGCACATGGATATTGTTACATTTTTCACTTAATTTTACTTTTAAAAGCATTAATATATATATATATATATATGATTTTGTATTGATATATTTTGTTGTTGAAAGTCAAGCAAATATATTCGTAAAATTATGTACTAAGTAAAAAGATTTGAGCAATATTATAAAACTAGATAAAAATTTAATAATAAACCCAGTATATAATAAAGTTCGAATACTAAACAATTATAATTATTATATAACAATTATATATAATACTAAACGATAATTGTATAATTACTACGAATTAGTATGAAATATGAAAATGATAATTCAATAACTGTTTTCCATATCTATTTTAAAGTACTCTTCAAGCATATCACATTGTAAATTTCTTGCGCACACACATAGACACAGAGACGCAGTTAGACAGCCAGACTAATGTTGCCAGTGTACCTGGTTTTGTAATAAAAATTCTTTATTATTATTTCAATGAATTCCATAAAAATAACTTATTATTATTCATATAACATTAAAAGTGGTAAATTTTTTTACGATATCCTTTTCACCCCTCCATCTCTTATTAATATATTGGACTTTCGTTAAATTTGACGGAGCTTATCGAAATAAAATAATCACTGATATTACATTATTAACATTACATTAGTGAAGACAATTAAATCAAGTTTTTGAATTGATATTTATGTGTACATTGTGTGTTATGTAATTGTTCAGTAATAAAAATCTCGAGTATGAAGAATCCTTGAATTAAAAAAAAAAAAAAAATAAACCGTACGTACGTGCTTTTACGAATTGTATCACGATAGACCTTTACTTACAGAGGCAGATTTCCTCGTGAACGCGATGCAAGGGTAAAGAAATAGAGGGAGTGAAATTATAACGCCAGGGTCGCAATGTCTTGGAATCGCGAACCCCTCCACGACTCTCTATTGTCGTAGAACATCAAAAGCTCGTCTGTGAAAGAAAATGAGGGTGTGTCGAGACTGCTTGAGGCCAGACAATTATATATTGAACATCCGTTTGTAATTTTTAAGAAGTCAGAAGGAGACGTAGCAAAAATAAAAGAAATAAATTAAAGAGTGGATATTCGAGGTAGTTTTTTCTTGGTGATAAATTTTATGTTTTGAACTTTGGGATTAGAGTATTTTGAATATTAAGAGAGGGTCGTATAATCGTCGTACCCCAGGCAATATAATTACTTTCTGTAATAATTACATTATAATTATTTAGAATATTTGTAAATGGTAATTACAAGCTCCAATATGAGCTGTAATTTTATATTTGCGCGTCTTCGATTTTTAAATTAGAC